ATAGGCTGTAAGTTTCTGCTTCATTTTGTCAGAAAATCGTCAGCATTTTCATCTATATTAATAAATGCAATTGTACAATACATATGATTGTTCTGTTTCGCGTTCTTATTTATTAATATGACAACACGTAGTATTTAGTTTGAATTGTAATTACTGTGTTCTTCTATAACTATTGATCATATAACAACGAAGTTACCATATAATTTGAGATTCCTGTAACGGTCATACTAACAACGAGAATTAATTAATAATAGTAATAGACTGTTAAGATGTTTATTAAAACATTATAACAAGAACAAGAACACGACAATTATAAACAGCGATGATAATATTAACAAGGTATTAGTAACAACGACAATAACAAAGGGTTGGCATTTCCGTGTAACATCAGAAAGCAGGGGGATTCATATGATAACGGCTTTATATCTGAACAAAATATTAATATTAATAAGTAAACATGGTTTATGCTTGGTAGGAAAACACAAGAGTTACTGCTGTTATTGTTATAGTCTTATTACATAACTCATAGCGTTTATCCGCTGATTGAGATAATAATAAGAAAAATGTTTAGGGACCTTCTCAATTTTGGGGTACTTTGACGGGATTTATGCACGACATATTCAAGAATAAATGTGCTTTTCGACCAATAACATTTTTTATTCAAATAGATGCTCTAAATGAACAAATTAAAAATGCTTGGTAATTGGTATCTTAATCTCGTTTGAATGAATTAGAAGCCATATCTGCAAATAAAACGCGTTACCAGAAAACAAAGGTAATTAATTGTGGCTTTGAAAGAAGAATGGACGAATCTCACAAGATATATGTATTGATCTTATAAAAGTCTGTCGAAAAAGGCGCAAAGCTTGCATTACTGGCGAAGTATAGCTGACTAAAAATGATATCAGATATGACTAAAGTTTATGATAAATATACGAATCTGCAAAATTTACCATTGGAACATATTAATATGAAACTCAAAGTTCTTTTTCCCACATTCTTGCAAAAACTGTCAACAGATTTTGGAGCCCCATTGATTGTACAGTATTTTATGAAATAGATAGTGTTTTATGATGTTATGCAGATCACTTGAATTAATGATTATGCTGCAGCTTCATAACCAGAAACGATTTGAAATTCTATTATCTATGTCACCCTTAATAAAATATGATCAATTGGCTTCAAAATTTATTGGAAGTTTTCTGCAAATAATGGGGCGAAAAAAATATATCGAATTTCGTATGTTCTAATAGTAAATTTTGAATAATTTTGATGGGTGAGTGTAGCATCAGAAGACTTTGTGCACATGTCAGCAAACTAATATCAAAAGCATCAATAGGGACATTAGCTACTTGAGAAACCATAAGACAGTCTGGTGTGTACAGGGTAAGTTATTCAATTGCCAATTAACAAAAATGATATATCAGCAAGCGTTATTGACTAATAATTCTACGTGTCCATTTATTCACGTGACATAGATCTGTAGATAATCGTTAATCTTAATATTAATATTAAGTTCCACGTAAAGTGCTTAACCAATTCATACGTATTATACAGTATATTAGATTAACTTTGAATGCCTCGGATGGATTGTAACACATCATTAATAATCAATTCCTACATCCACATGTGGATGGCTCCATCAAGCAACGCCCGTGGGAAGATCCCGTGGGCTCCGTTTACGTCCCTGTCCATAACCGTATGACAGTTTCCGCATTTATACTGCTGATGTTTTGTATGTTCCCACAATAGCTGCAGGTCTTGAAAGTGTACGCCTCATCCTGGATGATTACCATCGCGCCTGTTTCCTCGGCCTCGCTGCCGGAATGCATAATGTGACCAGGTGAATTGATTTTTCGTCGATCTCGCTTCACCATGTTCTTTACATTAAATTCAGGTATGATCACGACATCGTAGTTTTGGACCGAGTGATTCACCGTTTTCTTGTGAAGCTCATTACGTAGATTCCTGATCTTTCGAAAGATTCTCGCGATGCGCCATCTAATCTTTTGCCTTTCTTTTTTTTCGCTTCGACGTGGAATTGTTCAGAAGATATCTCTGGGTACTTAACCTGTCGGCGTGTAACCCTAATCGAACTAATCTCCGCGCGTCATTCTTTCCAATTTCTGTTACACCTTCAGTAGGTGAGTACATGACGAACGGGGTTTGCACCCCAAGGTCAATGGCTACGAACTTTTCATGAGCTTCCCTGTTCCGTTTTGGTCTTTCATGGACCCATGATAGGATCCAATCGTTCGTTTTTCGACGATAGGTAACCTTGCAATCACAATTGATTTTTTTAAATGGCCATTTGTTATGTTTTCGTTGGGGTTCGAAATGTAAAGGCTGTAGGTCTCTCTTGTTTTGTGTGATAATGCAGAGTTTCTTTCTTGGCGTGCGCATGCACATCGATTGGTTGTGTAGGTACGACACATAGAAGTGATTCCAATCCCTTCTCGAAAAATTTTGCGATCGGATGCTGATGGTATGCGCGAGATCCTTCTTCGACTTGAATTTTGATGTGGAATTTTTATCTTTCTGATTATAGTTTTTGATCGCCTCATCCGCTGTTTCGTCAATGATGTTATTGGGGATCTCTTCATAGACACCTTTAAGCTTGAGCATGACGTATATGAGATAACGAAGATATTGGGTACTCGAACAGTTGAAGTAAAAGTCGGGTGGGTGTTTTTATTATTTGCTCTGGTAAATTCAGTTGCCTTTGCGGATTCGGTTGCATCTGCACCTGCACCTGAATACGTGGTTTGAGGTGGGCAACCACTGTGTTATAGATCAATCTCATCAATCCCATCCATCGCTTCAGCAATTGTTTCTGAGCATGATTCGGGTACAATCTCGCGTTCAGTGTCCTGTTCACACTTTCGTCTGTTTTTCTTTTTTTTTATTTTTGTTGTGCGGCTCTTCTTCCTTGCATTCTGCAGATGAAGACGGTGTGGGATATCTTCGGATAGCTCACGTTCGTCGGTTGTTGAATCGTCAAAGAGAGGTTGCGGAGCTGACGAGTTATTCGTAGGTTGCGAAGCTGAGGACCTCCTTTTGTATGAACCCTTTTTTGTGGTGGTTTTGGCGGCGGCAGGGCAGGTGATGTTAGCCTTGAGGGGAGGGATTATGTGTTTACGATTTGGATTTTCAAATGAGCAAATATTGCAATGGTTAAGAGTTGGGGGGATAATGTCTTTAAATATGTTTATGGTTGTCGGTATTTGAATGGCGGAACCGAAAACACGCATAAAACATGCAA